CTTATTTTTTAACTGTGTTCCCACTGATTTTCAGAGAGACGAAGGGAGAGGGAGAGGGAGACAGAAACATCCATAAGAGAGAATCATGGATCAGCTGCCTCCTGCAGGCCCCACACTGGGGATGGAGCCCACAACCTGGGCATGTGCCCTGACCGGGAATCGAACCCTGACCTCCTGGTTCACAGGTCGATGCTTAACCACTGAGCCACACCGGCATCCCCTGCAAACACTTGTTTTCATGAAAGGCCTCGGCTACACGGAACGCTTTGCCTTGCAGGTACTTTCAGCCGCGGCTGCTGCCGGGGTCTCCGTTGCGTTTGGTGCTCCGATTGGCGGCGTGCTCTTCAGCCTGGAGGAGGTGAGCAGGGCGGCCGGGGCTGCGGCTCGGGCTGCGCAGTGGTGAGCTCAACAGAGGCTGCCTGAAGCCCTCGGGGGAGCGCTGACACCATTCCTGCCGCTCATTAAGGAGCCGCGATGGGGGCTGCTCAGTGTGTTCGGAAAATGCCGATATAAATGTTCTGGAAGATTTGCAGTGTCCCCCTTCCTCATAACCAAATTAATGAAGCATTTTTGGTTTTGGCGACGCGGCTAGGCCTGTTCCAGGGGCTGGCAAACGTCTGTAAAGGGCCGGGGAGTCGCTGTTGGAGGCTTTCTGGGTCTCCCGGGCTGGGTCCCAGCCACTCAGCCCTGCACACCGCGCCCGTGATCATGACACCACTCTCCTTAGGCGCTAAAGCTGGAGTTTTATATAATTTTCTCGTGTCACAGAAACAGAGTTCTTTTGAATATTTCACATGTCACAAAATAGTCCTTCCTAACCATTTACTTTTTTAAAAATATGTATTTTATTGATTTTTTACAGAGAGGAAGTGAGAGGGATAGAGAGTTAGAAACATCAATGAGAGAGAAACATCGATCAACTGCCTCCTGCACACTCCCCACTGGGGATGTGCCCGCAACCAAGGTACATGCCCTTGACCGGAATCGAACCTGGGACCCTTCGCAGGCCAACGCTCTATCCACTGAGCCAAACCGGCCAGGGCCCTAACCATTTACTTATTAAAAAAATTTTTTTTATTGATTTCAGAGAGAAAGGGAAAGGGAGAGAGGGATAGAAACATCAATGATGAGAGAGAATCATCTGTTGGCTGTCTCCTGCACGCCCCCTACTGGGGATCAATCCCACAACCCGGGCATGTATGTGCTCTTGTCCGGAATCACACCCGGGACCCTTCAGTCCTTAGGCCTGAAGCCACGCCAGCTAGGGCATTCCTAACCATTTACAAATCAAAAATTTATTCTTAACTCCTGTGCCATTCAGATACATTTGCTGGGCCAGGGTTTCCAGCCCTTGATCTACTCTTGTTGTCTGTCGAATCTAATGCAGAGATTTCTTTGCTTTTTTTGGGGGGGGGGGTGGTGCGC